AAATTACAATGACATTTTCAATTAGCGTTTATTCAAATGAAACACATGAAATAATGTTAAATCTTATATACAAACAAAATATGAGGACACAGAATATTGCACACTGGAAAAAAATTTACCGTTATTAATTCACGAGATACACTGAAAAAAATTTGCACGTATATTATAATTCTTTTACGAAGGTAGGATGTAGGAGATCCACGCTGCTGCGCATTTTTTTTTTTTATTTTTCGCTGATTATTTCCACATCGATTTTCTGCGTTTTTCACGCATACAGTAAGCRGAGCTGAGTTACTTCGCAGTGATTGAGGATGAGCTGTGAAATGTTCATATTTTCGCCCTTTTAAACGCTTTGTAGCACCACTTTCGAGACCACGCTTAGTTAGTATTATCTAACTTTAGTGGTCTTGCGGATCAGTACGCCTACGCACTAAAGTTGGGCAAGAATGCTTTTCACAAACTTCCTGCGGGATTATTCAGCTTGCATTACGCTTCTTGGGTGCCGTTTTTTATTTAATCTTGGATCGCTATTGCGGCTCACTCTTCATTTATGCTCACGCCAACTTTGATCGCAGCTTGTAACCTATAATGTTGTTGGGCATCACCCTTTGGTTTTTATTCGTCCCATGGTAGTTCTTTCTACTACATATTTCGAGCAAGAGAAAAAGATATGCTCCGCGTTTTCATCGGTACTGTTGCAGAAAGAACATTTCGTAGCCCATTCTGTAAAGACACTCCCTGAAACAGGCATATCCTGTCAAGAATTGCGTTAGATAAAAGCCGTCTGCCCTTGTTGCGTCTTCCTTTTCTGTCGCATCCAATTGCCTTGGCACTCTTTTAGGTTCGCCTGCCTCTCCTTTTTTCGCTCTTTAGCTTTTAGACGTCTATACTTGGCTTTAAATTTTTGATAGATTTTACTTAACCCATTTCAGAACGTTATAAATGCAAAGGCCACTCGAATGCTGCATAACCTCCAGGATGCGGAAATAAATGGATTTTTCGTGGCAACTGTGCTTTTAGTGTCATGCATCCATCTGGTTCCTGAAACCAGTTTTGGTTTTTTGGTTTTCTGACAACCCAGACAGCTCTTCTTCTAGGTGACATTCCAGACGTGTGCAAATCTGCCTTTCCAATATTTTAGTCAACGTATCGACCATACGAACTGTGGCAGCGTCCACAGGTTCAAAACCAGACTACGGAGTGAGTTGATCCTCTGGCTAGTCTTGGTACCCTAACTTGTGAACTCCGTCTGTTACAGGTGAACCTGGTAGTGAGTCGATTCTCTGACCAACTCAACCTTTAACATTATGGTCGCTAACAGGGTTTCCCTGGGGTCTGGTATCTTTGCGTGGGTATAGTAAGCGAACCAAAGCCATCATCAGCGTAGCGCAATCGGGTCAACACACGCTGCAGGACACCATCAGCAAAGCTTAAACGAGCGCAGGTAGGAGTAGTCGAGCGTGGTTGTCACAGCACAGCGCAGAACGTCACCTATCACCCCGGAGAGTAGCAGAGCGGAAAACGGCTTTACACTAACGGCCCACAACCGTTACCCCGCTACATTACTTCCCCCGGGCGACGACATTACAATGCGCGAGACAATATATAGACACAAATTATAACGATAAGTAAAATTATTAATTACGTAGACTGTTTATTTATTGCAACGGACCCTGGACACGGCGGATATACCACAGCAAAGCAAAACAAAACCTTTGTTACAATTGGCGCCCGAGCAGGAACGTATAAGATCAGGAAGACAACGTTTCTAAGGAGCAACTATCGCCTCGAAGATAACATACGGCAACGGAGACAACACTTGCGGGAAAACTACAAAACTATGTTTTGGCTATGTAGAATCTATTGAGACACCTTGGATATAATCAGGAGAAGCGATTGGAAAGGGGTTCATGGCTATAATTCMAATTACCACATTATTAAAAATCAAGTACATAAGTAAATATTCCATATCAACATATATACAGTAGGGTGTTTTTTTAAGTATTAATTTTGTTCATTCCGTCACGAAATTTCCTTGGAAATACCTTAAAAAAATTTAGTCAAAACTTYAGCCCTTAATATTAAGATTAAGACCTGGACCAAGGCATGTACAAATTTTCCATTGAAAATGCACTTCAATCGAAATTTTTTATCTATAAATTCCTACAGTTCAGAGGAATTTTATGGCATCGCTTTGACTTTAGACGCATATTTCTCAGAATCGATTACTCTACAAAAGTGACCAGTGTGGCAAAGTCGAAACTCACTCCGGCGAAGTAGTACGGGGCTCTAAACCCGATTTTTCCACGAATTTCGCATTTTATTTATATATCTCGTAAATGACAAGAGAGAGAATTTGTAGGAAATTTTATTTGCTATAAAAAGGGACCGAGGTCAAAATTGCTATCATTAATACTTTTCGAGATATTCGGCTTTTTATGTAAGGATGTATGCAATTTTCATAGATTTTTTAATACAAAAAAGTATTAATAATAGCGATTTTGACCTCGGACGAAATAAGAATAAAACAAACATACATACATATGTATATGCACTAAAATACCATATAAAAAGTAATCGTATATAGGGATGGCAACGATTAATCATTTGATTAAATTAATCGATTATTTCCACTCAATTTACGATTTAACTGCATCGAATCACCTTTTCTAATTGCTCGAGTAATTCCAAAATAATCGCAAACAGCATTTTGAAATTTAATACATTTTATGTTCATCTAAGTTAGCGTACAGGGGTCGAAATTGGTCGCATCAATCGTTAATTACAGTTTTTACAGCCAAACGCACTTTACGTTCAGTTGTTTGAAAAGCAATGGCGCCAGTTAAAAGCGAAGTGTGTAATTTTTTTTTTTTTAAATAAGCCATAACTACGTTAAATGTCAACTTTGCTGCAAAAATTTAAAATTTTCTAATAACACATCAAATATGTTGCAGCATTTAAAATTAAAGCATGCAACTGTAGCCTGCAAATTGGTGGTAAGATTGGAGCAATCGGTATTACATTTTAAATTTCTAGTTATATATAAATTGATGTGCACAAATTAGACTCTGCAATTAAGGATTGCGATAGCGTTGTCCCCAGTTATAAAGTTTTTACGTACTGAAATAATAGTTGCAGATGATACTATGGAAACGGGCAGCGAGTCGTCAGTGGAATCGGTAGAGAATGACCCCTGGCCTCTTCACAAAACTCTAGTGCACAAAGGATGGAGGAAGGACAACGATTGTACATCTCCAGAAGATGAATTGAGCTTTTAGTTGAATTGTCAGGTATTAGAACTAAGTCGAAACGCTATTGATGTTTGGAAGAAATGAAAATCGTTTACCCAAAAAAATAAAAAAAATTTTAATTTTATTTCCTTTTTTGCTTTGTGTATATACCAACATAATTTGAATGTCTGAAATAGGAATATAGTCTCCTATATTTTATTGGTTTTATTTTTATGTAAAGTTGCAAAACATCGTCTTTCAAGCAAGAGACAATTCCTTTACTTTAAGATTGCTGTACATATTTTAAAAAAATCTGAAACTTGGTGGTGTTCTTTATGCAATTTAGTATTATTTGAAAACCCAGCTTAACATAAATAACTAATTGAACATTACATATTTATACCCTGAACAGGGTATATTAAGTTTGTCACGATGTTTGTAACCCCCAGAAGGAAGCGTCGGAGACCCTATAAAGTATATATATAAATGATCAGTATGTTGAGCTGAGTCCATTTACTCATGTCCGTCTGTCTGTCTGTCCGTCTGTATATATACGAACTATTCCCTCAGTTTTTAAGTTATCCTTTTGAAATTTTGCAAACGTCATTTTCCCTTCAAGAAGCTGCTTATTTGTCGAAGCGGTCAATATCAAACCACTATAACATATAGCTGATATATAACCTGAACGATCGGAATCAAGTTCTTGTCACCAAATTTGGTATAGATTATTTTCTCCGAAGAAATTGTTCAGATCGGTTAACTATAGCATATAGCTACCATACAAACTGAGCGATCAGAATCAAGTTCTTATATGGAAACTTTCACATTTGACGATATATCTTTCAGAAATTTGGCATGAGTTATTGTTTATAGAAATAATGCAATATCGGAAGAAATTGTTCAGATCGGTTAACTATAGCGTATAGCTGCCATATAAACTGAACGATCGGAATCAAGTTCTTGTATGGAAAACTTTGACATGTGACAATGTATCTTCACCAAATTTGGTACAAATTATTTTCTAGGGCAACAATGTAATCTCCGAAGAAATTGTTCAGATCGATTAACTATAGCATATAGCTACCATACAAACTGAGCTATCGCAGTTAAGGGCTTGTATGGCAAACTTTCGCATTTGACGATGTATCTTCACCAAATTTGGTATAGATTATTTTCTAGGGCAAGAATGTAATCTCCGAAGAAATTGTTCAGATCGGTTGACTATAGCATATAGCTACCATACAAACTGAGCGATCGGAGTTAAGGGCTTGTATGGCAAACTTTCGCATTTGACGTGGTATCTTCATGAAATTTTACATGAATTATTGTGGTTAAAAATAATGTAATATCGGAAGAAATTGTTCAGATCGGCTAACTATAGCATTGATTAACTTCCTGCTTGCAAATAGAAGTACAAGCCACTTCAACGTCTCTTTAATTAAAAATACTCACTTTAAAATGCACAATCATTTAACGTAATTTTTATTAAGTTCTTATAAAAAATAGTAATATAAAATTTATATTAACTTATATTAATTAACGGACGACGAAGGTACGGGGGCTGTAGATATAAGTTGCATCCCGGACCGCTGAGTTAACGGAAAAAGGTATTTATGTGGCGCTGCGTAAGATGTAGTGTGTGTGTCAAAGTGTGTCGAGCGAATGTGAGTCTGCTATCGCGTTGTCCCTCCTTTTTGTTTAGTGGGTTGGTGTACTGATGAGGTGAGTTCTGTTGTAGTATCATCAACTGTGGTAAATTGCGATGTAGCATTAGGATGCGCCAGTTTTATCGTTGGGGTCCTGGCTCATAGGTGTTAGGGGCCGAGAATTGAGAATTGCTTCCACTTCGGCCAACAGTGTTGATAGCTCCTCTGCTGTGAGGAGCACGTTGCCGATTGCGCGAACGATAAGATGTTGGGCGGACTTCACCGCGGCCTCCCATAATCCGCCGAAGTGCGGCGCCCTCGGTGGTATAAAGGTGAAGCTGAATCCTTCTTCTGCGGCGAATCCCTTCAGCTCCGTTGCCTGTGCCAGAAAAGCCTCCTTCAGCTCGCGCGGCTTGCGATCGGCGCCGACGAAGTTGGTTGCATTGTCGCTGAACATCTTTTGGGGCATTCCACGGCGACCAATGAACTGCTTTGGAAGTAAAGCAAACGAAAACTGCGATATAAGTTTTCACGGGTGGTCGACCGCGTATTTTCAAAGTTGTGTATATCGGACCACAAAAATCTACGCCACATAAAAGAAAGAGCCGTAGGGCTCGAAGTCTTTCGACTGGAAAATTTCCCATAATTTGGCTTTGCAACTTCGGCTTGTAATGAAAACAATGTATAAAGTTTCTCACGGTTCTACTGCAAGTTTCTCGGGCATTAATTAGCCATATGCGTTCTCGAAGAAGCGCAACCAACGCTTTAGCCCCAGCGTGGTGATTTCGAATATRCAGGAACCGTAAATACGTTATAACGAAGTGCGAACTTTTATTTAATAAAAGCGGAAATTTGGCATCGTATGGGAGAGGTGCATTTAATAGGCGACCTCCTACTCGGATTAATTTGAATGACAGTGACATATCCGAGTAGTCATGCAAAAACGGGTTGCGTGTTTGCAAGTTTGTGGGTAGGGTGGTACCTTTATGCAATTTTTGAATAACATCCGAAAATTCTGAATGTTGGACCACCTGTGCACTTTTTAGAAAGATCAAGTTTAGCTCTTCTGAAGTCAGATCTTGTCCCCTGGAGGATTTTGGTGGTCGCCTGATCCATCGTAATATATATGCGATCTCACGAAGCAATTTTTTATGAGAAGAGAATTTTTCAGTGAGGTTCAGTATTGAATTTTTCTCAGCAGTCGAAATTAATGTAAATGTAGTTTTCTTCTTCTCTAATGCTTCGTCTTCTGGTGAGAGCTGGAAGTGGTTATTAATTGGCCATAATGCAGGGTCTTCCAGGAGGAACTGTGGACCGCCAAACCATATTGAATTATTTAAKTCGTCCACGTTACAACCCGAGACACTTGATCCGCAGGATTTTGTTTCGTTGGCACATGACGCCACTTTGTCAGTCAACTCTTGGATTTCAGACACTCTGTTTTCGACGAAGGTGTGTAGTGAGGATGGATGTGTTTTAATCCAATGTAAAACGATTTCTGAGTCTGTCCAAAATGTAATATTTTCGAAATGTCGACTCAACATAGGCGCTACTCTTGACCATAATTTCGAAAGAAGATGTGCTGCCGAGAGCTCAAGACGCGGAAGAGATTTGGTGTTCAGCGGAGCCACTCTAGACTTTTCAGTAAGCAGCATACATTTAATACCACTAGCAGATTGGCTTCGTATGTATAAGCAGCAACCGTACGCCCTTATTGAGGCGTCGGAGAAGCCATGTATTTGGCAGATGGCATTCGACTCAACGTTTACGTAATGAGGAATGCTTATC